CAGCCATCTTGAGAGCAATTATGAATGGAGCACATGATGCTCCCCAACCTCTATTTCCTTCAAATTTACCGTAGGATGAACAGCGACCATCGAACCATTTGAACATGAACAATCGAAGTAATGTGCTTGATTCTTATTCTGCAAATCCATCTCGTCATATTTTGTGTCAGCGCGCCATGGAGTTTTCCTCCGCGGGCGGGCAATAAAAAAAGGAATCTACTGACTCTTCACACGAGTTGGTCTCTTGGGAGCACTAGCGGCAAAGGAAAACCACCCACAACACTCGGAGGCCAACCAGCATAGCGATCGCGGCAATGAACGGACGATGAAGGCGTGGGAAGAAATTGATCCCCACCTTCATCCGAACTTGAGCCGAAAAAGCAAATAAGACAGAATCGCAACAAAAACTCGAAACATTCAAAGACTATCGAAATAGAGCCATAGTTGCCATAAAAAAGCCGCTATCACGTTATACGGGGCATCCTCCTAGGACTAAGCTCAGAAGGGGCAAGAAGTTCGGGAGAAAGAAAACTGTTCACAACCCTCGAGTCTCTCTTCCCAGCCTAAGACTTAATTCCAATTTTATCAGAAAGGAGAAGTTTACGCGCTTCTAAATACACTGCTACCACAACGCCCCCATATCCTGCGATAGCGCCTGAAAAAGCTATAGAAAACCTTCATACCTCTTTCATGACGGACAGATCGGCAGCGATGTAGTCCACATTTGTTGGGTTTCCGGTCTCCTTGACAATTTGGTCTCGAGTCGCCTAAAAAAATGTGCTAACGTCATATCATGTCGGAGGTACTTTTAGTTCTTATAAATAAGCGTTTGCCGTGGGAAATGACGTCTTCAAGGCCGTGACGTCAAGGAAGTGGTCATCATGAGAAATTTTACTTTCAGAAAGTATAATTACCCCCCCTCCACCCCAACTCATCTAAGAGGGCACAAAATAATCAATAAAACCGCTGTCCGTTTTTTTTGTACAAACGCTGTTCCTCAAGTGTAGCCTTTTTATCATTCAGTTGTTTTTCTACGTGATGCTCTTGTTGACAGTGCACACCTTTGAGTTTATAAAAATAAATAAACAAACAAATAATCAGTTCAATGTATTTGTGAATGTCTTATTCTTTGAGAAAACCCTTAAAAAACATCGCGTGAGCGGGGTAAACGGCCGAGTTTTTTGAGAGACCTCTCCTCCCTCCCTCCCCCCTCCCTAGATCTTTTTCTCCAAGACATCTAGACAATTTTATGGCAACATATGGGAAGTTGAACACTTCCCTATCTATCATATATTCGTCCAAATCAGCACTTCTATATATGGCGAAATGCAATTTTCCATCATGTTCACACCAATTGAGTGGTAACCCATGGAATGGGTGGGACCAAGACATACCCTGGGCTCTTGAGCGTCACGCCACGTTTTAAGGACCACACGCGAATTTTGACTCCCAGAAAAGATTCATCCATTATATAGGAGACTGATCAATCCACCTCATTGTGGCCGCCCTTCCTAACATTTCAATCTCCGATATAAAAGCCGTATGCAACGAAATGCATGGAGACCTCGAATTCCCCAGAGAGGCTCACTGAAGATGGAGCAAATCTAGTCGCATTTGTTGCACACATATTATATAACATTTGAAAGCGATTGCCGGAAAATCCCCATAAAAGTGGAGCTAAATGACTTGGAAATCACCTCGCATTTCTCTTCACTTCGTCCATGGATAATGACTCGATTATCCGGATGAGCGGCCAAGTCGGTGGCCGTTTGCTTGCCGATGCCATCCGTCGAGCCGGTGATCAGAATCGTTCGCTTGAACGACGATCCTGGCATCGAACGTTCGCCGTCTGCACCTCGGTCGGTGGTAGTATTCTGAAATGAACAGTACAGCCTTTGAAGCCATCCGTTTTTTAAACGCCATGGCGAGCTCGCTATGCAATGAAATGATGCCCGAGGAGAACCAACCAATAGCTTTATTGGAATTCTCATAGGAAATGAAGCATAGAAAGGGGAAAACGGTAGTGATGAAACAAGAAATTTAATTTCCAGGAAAGCTAGCCAGAAAGTCAGAAAAACACGATCATAGTCCACATTTCAGTGTAATATTAATCAACCTACACAGAATCACGCTGCCTCTTCGAAATCAATCTCTATTGTATCCTATTGAGCCACTTTGATTGTAATAGAAGAAAATCGAGGGGTTGAATGAATGTTCATGATAAGAAGGGTAGTGGAAAGCGTAGAAGGTGCCCAAGTAGACGATAGGTGGGACTTCCGCAGCAAAAGGCGTGGTGAGACGACGAGGTGCTTCAAAGTCCTCCGGTTCTCAGACACGCCCACCGCCGGCACGTGGAAGGGCAATGATGGTAATTCGCGTTTGTCCTTTCTAAGCGCACCATTGCAGCGGCCATCAAAGCAGCTTCTACCTGTTTATCGCGGTTGGCGTGATGCCAGTCTTTAACTTTACCCGAACGGCCTTTAAGTTAGCGATAAACTGGTCCACTCCTAAAATCAATGGGCTGAAAAGTAGCCCACGACATCAGCTTATAGCAAGCGTTTTGCCTTTAATGCCGTCTTTCATTGGAGCTCGTTCTGAAAAATTCTCCTCATAAAAGAATCGAAAAGAGAGTGAGGAACTGGAAATTTCTCGGGGATGTGGAAAGTTTTTTTACGATTTTGGGCACTTGAAAAAAATCCAGGATTAACTTGCCCAGACTAAGCTTGCCATAACTACCGAGCCTACGTACGACTTAACGCACTGGTTGAATAGG